CCGGCCGGAGTACCCACCACCTGCGAGCGGAGATACCCCACCACCTGCCGACCGGAGAAACCCCGCCACTGACGACCGGAGAACCCCGCCACCTTGTCGACCGGAGGAAAACCCCGCCACCCGCCTACTGGAGAACCCCGCCACCTGCCGACCGGAGAACCCACAAGCCGCCGAAGGAGTACAACGCCACCTGCGCCCGGAGTACCCCGCCACATTCCGACCGGAGTACCCCGCCAACCTGCCGACCAGAGAACCCCGCCACCTGCCGACCGGAGTACCCCGCCACCTGCCGACCGGAGAACCCCGCCACCTGCCGACCGGAGAACCCCGCCACCTGCCGACCGGAGAACCCCGCCACCTGCCACCTGCCGACCGGAGAACCCCGCCACCTGCCGACCGGAGAACCCCGCCACCTGCCGACCGGAGTACCCCGCCACCGACCGAGACCCCACCACCCGCCGACCGGAGAACCCCGCCACCTGCCGACCGGAGAACCCCGCCACCTGCCGACCGGAGAACCCCACCAGCCGCCGACCGGAGTACCCCCACCTGCCGACCGGAGAACCCCGCCACCACCGAGTACCCCACCACCTGCCGACCGGAGAACCCCACAAGCCGCCGACCGGAGTACCCCACCAGCCGCCGACCGGCCCGCGTCCAGTCTGACCCGGGGTCAGCCCCTCGCCGACCCCGCTGACCCCGGGGCCAGCACCACTGACCTGCGGGTCGGGCAGGTCGGGGAAGTCGACCGCCAGCCGAGCGTAGATGCCGTCGCGGGACCGGAAGTCGGGGATACCGCACGACACGGACACCTGCCGGCGAGGCGGCGTCGGCGGCGGCCGTCAGACGCCGGCCGGCCGCGCGCCGCACAGCCCGGCCCGGAGACAAACCCGTACACACATCCACAGGCTGACACGGAGATCGACGACCGACGCCATCTGGTGGCGCTCACAGGCGTCACGCTCTTCAGCGCGCGGCTTTGCACCTCGTCGGAAGGCGCCCCTCTCTGCGCCTTAGGTTAAGTGACCTGATGAAGTATATTACCAACGCCATATTTAGTACGATTTTAGTAAGCAATGTTTATGCTTTCATCATTACCATTCACGTAACGCATTATTACACCAGTTAGGGCGTCACCGACACATGCGTGACATCACTAAACACCAAATGTCTGGCGTCAACTCAACATGTATGACATCACACGCCGCCACACTTCTGAACTCTTGCAACACATACGCAACATAGCTAGCCGCCCATCTGACGTCACTGCCTCCGCGTGTAACGTCAGAGACTGACCCCGGCGCCGGTGAGGACGATGATGTTGCGCGCGCCGCGGATCAGCCGCGTGACGTCACTCAGCGTGTTGACGTGGCGCAGCTTCTCGCGGCGCGGCGGCTCGCTCAGGATCTCGATCACGATCTGCCCGGCGGCGGCGGCGGCGGTCAGGCACGTCACAGGCGGCTCAGAGACACCGCAGGCGTCCCAGAGACAGGGCAGGCAGCTCGGAGACAGGACAGGTGCCTTGGACAGGACAGGCGGCTCCGAGACACGACAGGCAGCTCGGAGACAGGGCAGGTGCCTCAGACAGGACAGGCGGCTCGGAGACATGGCAGGCGGCTCCGAGACAAGGCAGGTAACTCGGAGACGCGACAGGTGGCTCAGAGATAGGGCAGGCGGCTCAGAGATAGGGCAGGCAGCTCAGATACAGGGCAGGTGGCTCAGAGACACGGCGGACAGCTCAGAGACAGGGCGGCCGGCTCAGAGATAGGGCGGGCGGCTCCAAGACGCGCACGACGTCCACGACATGCTGCCACATTAAGGTGTGACAATGGACACGCCGCGCCTACAAGGTGACGGGAAGACAACGCCGCGAGAAGAGGTCAATCTCATTGAAAACGTTTGGAGTCCATTTGAGCACACATCCTAGCGACCGGTAGTTCGCGCCGCATCGTCTTCCGTCAGGGCATTAAGCGTTTGGTTCGACCACCTTTACGTGCAATATGACAAGAACTTGCCAACTGCAAAAGACCTCCAGTTCCGAATCGATTTACATAACATCTAACAGCCGCACCCACTGTCAAAAATAATACCTCCCCCCCCCCCCCCCCCCCTCCCACCGCCCAGGTATCCCCGCCGCCGGTGTCAGGCAGCAGTCGGCGCCGTCTGTGCCCTCCCCGAGCCCGGCCGGCGGTCGCGGACCGGTACCTTCCAGAGCGTGATGTCGTCGATGTGGGCGGGGATGTGCTTGAGGCCGGGTCGCAGCGCCAGCAGCACCTCGCGCGGGTCGGTGCCCGAGCCGATCTGCTCCTGCACCCAGCAGATCGGACCTGGCAGCAGCGACGGTGCCGTCAGTGATGGACCCCGCCGCCGCGCGCACTGTCACACCGACCCGTGACGTCACTGGTAGTGCGCACGCAACGGTGCATCGGGCGGCGATTCGACACAACAGAGGACGGCGAACAAGCCCGCCCGCTGACGTCGCTGGCAGCCGGCGCCCCCTCCAACCGCACGGCAGACAGCAACTCAGCGTGAGGCCAAACGGCCGACAGCGACCGGTGACGTCACTGGTCACCCTTGTCCGCACAGACCACGTGCCGGGCGGTATCACAACACGGATTCAGGCAGCCGGGTGACGTCACTGGTCACCGGTTGTTCTTGGCGACGGCGGTACCCGCTGCGCGCCTCCACAGGTATCGGTGACCGGTACAGCTCAAGTGACGTCACCAAGCCGCGCCAGCGTTCCAAAGGCAGCGCAGCGCTGACACAGCACCCAGCAGCCGCGGTCCGCTCTCCGAAGTCTCAACGCCTCCCACCTGCGTTGGGCTTCCAGTTGAGCCCGCTGATGTTGCTGACGTCGCTGACGTCGCTGTCGCCCGAGTCCGAGTCGGAGTCCGAGTTGGAGTCGCGCCGTTCGGGGCCCGACGTGCCCCGGTCGCTGGTGTCACTGGGCGACGACGGGTCGGCCGACTGGGGCACGGCACAAAGGTCAGAGGTCAGAGGTTAGGACGGGCCCGACCGGTCGTGCGAAGATCGGAGAGAAGTCCGACGGTGGCACCGGTGCAGCATGGACTCGACAGCCAGTTCAGAGACTGGGGGCATCAGGGACGGCCGCGGAGCCAAAAGGCGGGCACAGCAGAGGTTAGAGGTGCACAGAGGAACACGAGGCTGGGGGGAACAGCAACACAGAGGGGCACAAGGCTGGGGGAACAGCAAAGGTCAGAAAGGCGGGCACAGCAGAGGTAAGGGGTGCACAGAGGAGCATGAGACTGGGGGAACAGCAACACAGAGGAGCACAAGGCTGGGGGGAACAGCAAAGGTTAGAAAGTGCAACCGAGCTGAAGAGGGGATGGTGAACAAGGGTGCCTCAAACTTTCTGTGAAAATTTATACCCATTAACCTGAATAACAGACCATGCACCCCTTACCACCGCTACGTAGGTTGTGTCCTGCTTTCTGTCTGCACAGACCACCAGCTGCACAAGCCCTGTGCGACAAACAGCCCAGCTTGCGGTGACCATCTGGTGCGGCGCACCAGGACAGCACGCTGGCCAGCTCCCACTGACCTGCGACAGGGGCTGCTCTGGGCCGGCGGGTGCAGCCGGCAGCTCCAGCTGCAGCTCGGATGCCGGGGCCGTGGGCCGGGGCTCTGCCATCGCGTCTAGGCCGATCTCTGACGTCAGCGAAGCCATAGCTGAGGACACGTACAGGCGTCACTGGACAGTACACCCATCAGAGCCTCCACAGATCAGGTCAGGGGAGGGGTGCGGCTCAGCTGGGAGGCCCTTCACCGGGAAGCCACAAAGCGTGTTGTTTAAACCTGGCTCCATGTCAAAAGTTGCATCACCCAGCCAAAATCAGGGAGTGTCAGCACTTTTGGCGCTCAGCAGCCTGAGTTCACACCAGGTCAGGAGGGATACTGTTAGCATGGGGCAGGCATTGATAACAGCTCTGCCCCACCAGATGGGCCACACCCAAAATACTGAACCAGTTCCAATCTAGACCAGATTATAGCATCATGTTCTAGACAAAAACTGAGGTAGTTTTGTCAACATGATATTTCATTCAAACATTGGCTCTCAATATGCTGAAATTTGTGGTGAATGTGCACCAAGCACAGAGTGCTTGGATTTACAACATGTGTGCATTTAAATCTTTGCTGGGATGTATATTGCTGCTGCTATGCTTGACATACATGTGTGTTTTATTCTAGAGTAGACCGTGGTGCAGGCGTATGGGCCCCATCCAGTGTTCAAATATTCAAGTGTTAAAATATTCAGCGATTTGAGTGATATTGATGTGATATTTTTCATGCTATACACCCCAGCTTAGGGCTCACTGCCTACTGCCCCTCCCCTTGCTCAAAATCAACCAATCAGCATCAAACCTGGTGGCTGTCAACCCAGTATCTAAACACCTCAGGCTTGACAATCAGGCTGGGCAGGTCACATGTCTTGGTTCTGGGTCAAAGGGCAATGAATAAGTGCCAACAAATTGCATGCCTGAGAGGGGGGATTCTGGGAGGGGGCACTGGGGGCACTAGGGGCACTGGGGAGGGGGGCACCGTGGAGCTGGGACTTTTGCGGCATTACTTCACATTCACTTCCTGCACACCCTACTGGATAAATTTTGGAATGCTGGGTCTGACCAGTGGTAGCAGCAAAATTTGTCCTAGTGTGGTTACTTTTTAAGAGAATGCAGGACTCAGCCGAACAACTATTAAAAAATTTAGCTACATTTACCACATGCTGTAATTGCATTTCCACAAACTTTTCTTGTGAATATGAATGTGAATGCTGGCCTCTTTACTGCTCCTAATTGAAAGAGAGACCTATCAAACAATATATACGGATTACATCAACACAAAAAATGTGGATAACAAAAATTGCGCATCAGACAAGAATCATGTTTGAAGAACCACTGAGGATACTTCATTACACAAGACCTACCACATCATTCCTGGTGGCCCATAGCAACTATAGGCTTATAAGGCTAGGAGATTTTTCAATTCTCTGCCTGTGAAAAATCTGTTTGCAATATCACTGCCTGAGGGCCTTGCAACACTGGTCAGGGTATACGTTGCTACCTCATGTTAAGAAAGGGCTTTGTACATCAACCGTCATTTTTAAGGCAGAACACATCATGATTAATTGTAAAACAGGTCATCTAAACTCTTATCTTGGAACTTAGATAACTACCATAGTGAACAAACACCCAAGCGCAAACATGCAGCAACCACGACCCTGGCGCCATTCCTATGCGTACTATTATTGCATGATCAGAACATTACAATGCATCAAGAACCATAAAAATGCATGAGGCCAAGGTAACAAGAATCCAATAAAATGTGTTTCTTGCATATCCAACCAGTCTTCCAAATTGTTTGTAGTTTGGTCAGCATGGTGGGGAAATATGACATTTTTGGGTGGGAATGAAGAGCAAAATGAGAATATGGTGGCTAAACAAAACTTCTTAATACAGTACATATATATGGCAGGGAGCATGGATGCCAGTGGGACACTGGGTTGAAGGAGATAGGTTAGGGTGGGGGGTTAGGTTAGGTTGTCAGGCTAGGTTAGGTTCAGTTCAGTTATGTTAGGTTAGGTCTGGTTAGGCTAGTTCAGGCTATGTTCTGGACTATTGTGGCCTGTCTGTTTCATTAACATACCTAGACACGATAAGAAACATTTTTCATTGCATTATTACTGTTACCTCAGTCCGCTACACTTTTTATGGTTCTTGATAAGCAGAAATATTGTAATTACGCAACAACAACACAGAAACGGCGCTGGGGAGTCGAGGCGGTGGGGTGCGTTCGGTGCCTGGGAGCTCACTCTCGTAGTTATTAAAATTTGAAGGTAGGAGGCTGATTCTGCTTGTTTTGAGATTATTTACAATATGTTCCGCCTTAAACATGACAAATGGTGTACAATTATTTTTTCTAACATTAGGTAGCAAAGCATACCTACACCCAACACCACACACTGAATAACTGACATAAGCTACAACTGATGCCAACTGTGCAACCAAACTCTGAGCATTGGAATTAAGTTGTAAATGCAAAGACATAGTTGCCACAAAGCTGTCTCTAACCTACATCTGTTAAATATGACACATTTATTCATCTACAAGATGCTGCCCAAAGTACTATACAGCGTTATCTATGTTTCAACGTATTATATTCACCTGTACATTGACAGAACTCCTATGGGGGGAGCCTAACAACGGAGCAAAGAGAAGCACAGAAAAGCGCGTTGATTCTGAGCAACCGGGAATGTTAACACGCGGAAATACAGAATATATGCATTTGCATACCTGTATGTGTTGAATAGTCGCATGCACATACCCCTCCCAACGCAAAAGAGGCTATTGCGGCGTTTACGGTTTCTCAAGAATGCGGAAACCGAGGCGTTTACCCGAGTCACAAATGTCTTATCTGGTAACAAAATGACGGCAGCCTGGAAGGTACGACATACTGCGGAGCTCAGCGTAAGTACATCGCGTGAAGGTGCGCTGTATGTGTTTTCACACAAAAAGAGATTGCTTCTTAGTTTAATATCGTGCAATTGTGAAAAAATAAAATTTTCTGACAGCCCAACCGAACTGCATTCTAATACCAATTGCAAAGTCGGGAGATTATATGAGCTGGTAGACGCCCCTGGTCGCACTAACAGCTTCTACCGACTGCCACTACACTGCACCACATTCGGTGCGCGTAGTACCTGCGGGAATCCTGGGCGGCTTCATGGAATCCTTACAGCTGTTTAGTACCTCGAAAGGGATTGCTGACAGGATTTGCACGTGATTTTGGATTATCGAAACTATTTCGACACCAACTCGCAATACAACGCCTGCATTCCTGCCCTGACCGAGCATCGCCAAGCAACTCCCGGTTGATTGCGATTCCACCTCAGAGACGTGACTCTGTTGCGGCCTGATGGAATCGATTGTTATCGAAGCTTTTGGAGATGATCCGCACTGTGGGCTCCTCGGGACCTATGATTAAGAGCCCGAAAGGCCGACCGCACCCGAAGTCGCATTCAGGGCCCGGCCTTCAGGGCTGGGTATTTCAATGCCATCCAGAGGGCATGCGAGCTGATACGGGGCCCGCTGAGTCGATAACGGCCCATATGTCAGTCAGACACCGACAATTACGCATAGTCGGTCCCGTGTCGGCATAGGCCTGGGGACCATTCTCCAATCAGGGACAAAGCAGGAGACAGCGATTTACATTGTTCGGGGCCCCAGCGTCTGTCAGGGGTCCCATAGCGCCTAACAGGGGCCCTGTGCTGGCAATGTGCCCGAGTGGGCCAGATGCAATGTTCAAAGAGGCTCGAAATGCCTGGGGGCCCACCGGGACCAACGACCAAGGGCCCGATTGAAGGTCTTAAGGACACGAAGTGTTGTTCGGGTCTTTTTCAGGGTCTCAACCTTCACGGACGGGCCCTCAAATGACAGTCAGACGGCCCTTTGCGCCGATCGGGGACCCCCTGAATCGGTATGTGCCTACATGTCGGTCAGGCACCACCATTATCCCACAGTCAGCTCCTTGTCGATAAGGGCCAAAGGGTCCACTTCCTAATCAGCCAAAAAAACCGGGGACAGCGACTGGTCGGCGCGCCTGTATCTGTTACGGGCGCGCAATGCCAAACAGAGGGTTCTGTATTCACAACGTGCCCGAGACGACCAAGGGCAGGTATTCGATGAGGCCCGAAGATGGGCCTGGGCGGCCCAGTGGAACCAACGATCAAGGGCTCGGTTGGAGGACATAAGGGCCTGAAGGACAGACTGTAGATCACATAAAGAATCCCGGCCCGTAGGATCGCGACCAAAAACATCAGTCTCGAGGTCCTCTCGCACCGTTTGAGGACCCCTTAGACAATGCCGGTGTCTCGGTCGGCCAGAGACCACAAGCACCGAACAGTCGGGTTCCCGTCAGTCTGAACGCTGGGGGCCCATATCCCAAGCAGGAGCAAGGCCGAAGGCCACGACTTGCATCGGTTTGGGCCTCTGAAACAATGTTTGGGGCCCCTGCGTCAGTCAGGGGCCCACAGTGCCTAACAGGGGTCATGTGTCAGCGAGTGGTCCCGAGTCGGTCACAGGCTTTGTCTTAAGAAAGTCCGAAGAGGGGACAGGGACCCCCGGGAGCAAAGATCATGGGCCCCTGTTGGAGGGCTAAGCGGTCCGAAGAGCTGGTTGTAGGTCACATTTAGTACTCCCGCCCGTGGGGTCGCCATCTCAAAAGTCAGAGGGTCTCTTGTACCGATTTGGGAGCCCTGATACAGGGCATTTGATCTCGGCCACGGACACCAGCACCGAACAGTCGGCTCCGTGTCGGTCTAATCTCTTGGGGCCCATTTCAAAAGCAGGGAAAAGGCCTCACCCGCGATTTACATTGGTTGGGGTCCCGCAACAATGCGGAGCTCCCGTATCGGTCAGGGCTCCAGTGCCTAACAGGGTGTTCTGTGTCAATAACGGCCCTCGAGTCGGTCAGGGGAACATTTGCTCAACAGGGACGGGACGGGACCCCAAATGACAGAGGACCTCTTGCGTTGGTCGCAGCCCTCTGACAATGAAAGGACATATTATGACGCATGGTGAGTGCTCACATGGAGACAATGGGAGGTTCCTGTGCCACTCAGAGATCCCACTACCGAACGGTGGGCCCTCCAGCCCAATTCCAGTATGGTCCCGTACGGCGAAACTGGAGTCTATGCGCCGATTATTGGACCACCTGCAACGATCAGGGGTGTTTGCGTCAATGGGAGTTTCTGCTCGATCCGGGGCCAACTGTGCGGACCAGAAGGCCTTCTGTGCCAGGATGGGACCGATGTGATATGATAACTCTCCCCAAGGACCTCCGGATCGGCGAGGAGATCCCGCCCCTGTTGCCAGAATGGCAGCCGAAAGACACCCTGCGGTGGAACGGAATGGCCCTTAAGCTCCTGACCGGGGGCGAAAATGTGCCTCCTAGTATTCTACTCAACAGGCCCCCTTGCCCGGAAAGAAATAAGACTCTTACTAGTGTCGAAAATAATGGATCGACGTGAGTTTAAAAACGAACAAGTCTATCCCGCGTTTGCCTGACGTTAGTTTTTTGTTTGCAGCATTGAATAGTGAAACAAATTACTTCGAAACATTTGAGCCTGTGCGCCCGAATCTCGGGAGCAAGGACGGCGACGGTCTGGGTTGCAGCTTCCAGAAAACCGGTGTTGGCCACTGCAAGCAACGCCACGCGCCGCGCGCGAGAACGACCGTCATGAAATAATGTCTCCGAATGTCTCAAAATTAATGCGCACTGTTCAAAGACTGGGATTTTCTTTTTACAACCTTGAGGTTGTCCTCCTGATAGATGAACACGCAACACGAAAAATAGAGATACCCATTGGCCCTTCCAATTTCACCACCAGATTCCAGCATCACTTCGCGATGCTGTAAATACCAAGGCCGTTCGTAACATCAATCTAAAATTCGCACCGGTAAAATTTACGCCCAGACTACCTTCTAAACGTGACATTTGATGTCCTGAAGCTTCAAAGGTACCTCTTTTAAATGCGTCATCATTTTCGTCCGCCCAATGAACACGGCTTAGTGTTAGCCGCAGGGCCGACGCCGCGCGGCCTGCGGACGCTGCCACGCCTGGCGTGGATGTTTTGAGATTCGCTAAGGTTTGTCAAGAATTGCGAGCGTGCATGTTCAAAACTACGTGCGTGATTCTTGCCACTTATCGATTCTGACGAAATGTTGAACACTTCCAGGCAAACATAGCTTGGCCACGTTCGTGCAAACTGTTGCCCATTTTGATATGCAATCCGCGTTTGCGGGGTCCCTGATATCTCTGTAGAACCCAGATAAAAATTATGACGCAGCTTCTGAGTTCTGCCGGTTTAGAACGAATGCGATGAGCCACTGAAAAATGGATGGCACCGGCGTTTTTATTTCATTTAGTCGTTTTTACGCATGCTTTCTTCAATTTATTGAATATAAAATTCAGTCAGAATTTATCTCGCGGTAGCTTCTAGCTTCTAGTTCAGCGCTAGAAGGAAAAAATGAAAACATATCAATGAAAAGCGTGCTCTCATATGAACTGGGCCGCAGCTGGCAATGTTTTTGTGCGGGGTCCTGTTCACTATCAGGGGGCACTTCGTCGACCCCGTGCACCTCCCCCCCCCCTTGCCAAGGCTGCGCGTCACGACTGGGACTTCAGGATGAAATTTTTGTTCGATTATTTTTTTCCGGAATAATCTCTGATCTGTTATGAGCGCGGTGCTAGATGTTTTGGCACCTAAGTGTATAGCATCTTTACAAAATGCAAAAAAAAAAATGAAGGTCTTGGCCTTGGCGGTTCATGTTCTACAGAGTCCTTGCCGGGAGGTAGCGTCGGCGACATTTTGCTGAAAAATGAACTTAGTTGCTAACCACAGGAACTGCACTCCAAACCGGCTTTCGGGACAGCTAGTCTTGACCCACCCTGAAGTGGATTACCACCATTCTGGTGACCCTTATAACGCCTGGAGTCGAGTCTGGTCGTCCGGAGTCGTATCATTCTGGAGACTTTTACGTCTGGTCGTCCGGAGTCGAGCGATTCTGGTGACTTTTACGTGTGGTCGTCCGGGGTCGAACCATTCTGGTGACTTGCGTCTGGTCGTCCGGAGATGAGCCATTCCGGTGACTTTTACAACGTCTGGTCGTCCGGAGTCGAGCCATTCTGGTGACCTCTACAATGTCTGGCCATCCCGAGTCGAGCTAGCCCGACCTTTCAGTTGTGATAAGGTTTGAACCAGAGGCTGATTTCGCAAAATTAGTGTGGGGCTGGGAGGGGGGGGGGGGGGGGGCAGAGAAGTAAAAAATGACGCAGCCCAGCCCCGAAATAAGCCGGCAAACAGGTTTCTCACCGGATTTAGCCAACTTTCCAATCAAAATTGGGGGGCTCCCCCTCACAACTGAATACGAAAGTACGTTGCTGGGTGAATTTTCTTATTCGTAGACTTCCAATTTCATGAAATTCACACGATCAAAACCTAGACGGCACATATCTTACAGCTTGGGAATGCATTGATGGCGCTGTTCCCGCTCAGTGACGTGGCTTGTTGAGTGTTGGCTTGTCCACGTAGCTGAGCGGGCCGTTGCTGCAACAACTTCACCCGTTTGGCCCGACATTGCATCGCAGCCCACAGGGGTCGATGTCTGCGCCACCTTTCGAAAACTGTTACCCCATGACGCTCTGGGAGAGCGTCCGTCCATTCGCCGGCACCCACTTCACGAAGCTGCCGCCAGCAGAGGGCGGCCATTTTGCGCGCGCTCGCGTGGCGGTCCGCCGGGCCCAGACGGCGCGAGCCTGGACCGGACGCCGCTTTGTGTACAGGCGCCGGGACATCCCCTAGTTCAGACAGTTCGCCAGCTCCCGGCCGAACGGCTGCTTGACCCGTGACGTCACTGATCGCCCGCGGCCGGCCGCTGGGTGTGCCTATGTCAGCTGATCACCAACACCCCGCAGCTGATGCCGCCAGCCGCTCGACATTAATCACGAGCAAGCGCACTCTCTGCCCCTGTGAGACACCTGGATACACTGTGAGGAGAGCAGTCCCTGGCATTTTGCACGAACAAAACCGATCAAACGTGAGCCAAGTGTACTTGTCAACTGCGTACTGCTCGGTTTGGTCACAGATGTCAGGACTGTCAGCGGAGCAGTGCAACAGTACACTAGCAGCACAATATCAGGTTATGTTATGGCGATGCAAGGCCGAAAACTGCACCCCAACTGGCCACTTCGCCTCCAATCTCTCAAGATGGCATCAAGTGAGCGCGTGCTGACTGACGCCGACCAGCACAGCGGCACATTCAGTAAAGCACGCGCACTCAGCGCCGGTCACAACACGTCCAGCACCAGTCACAACAGCCGGGCAACAGGGTCACGGACCGCGCACACGACCAGCGGGGCACACAACTGTGCCACCCTCACTCGCCAAGGCCGGAGCGATGCCGAGCGGGAGGTGCGGGCCAAGCCGCCGCCGCCGCTCTCCCGGACGTCGCTGCTGACCCCGCGTGCCTTCACCGTCGTGCTACCGGCGCTCTGCTGAGCGGCGGCGGGCAGGAGGTGCGGGCCAAGCCGCCGCCGCCGCCGATCTCCCGGACGTCGCTGCTGACCCCGCGTGCCTTCACCGTCGTGCTGCCGGCGCTCTGCTGGGCGGCGGCAGGCAGGAGGTGCGGGCCAAGCCGCCGCCGCCGCTCCCCGGACGTCGCTGCTGACCCGCGCGCCTCCAGCGTCGTTCTGCCGGCGCTCTGCTGAGCGGCGGCGGGCGGGCCGGGCGTCCTTCGTCGGCGACCTGCCCACCACCCAGCACACACCCGCTGTAGTCGCCGCTGACGAAGCCGGTGTTGACGAGGTCGACAGGGGTCGCCGCGGGCCAGCGGACAGCAAGACGACCGGCCGCGGCCGGACTCCCGTGTGGTCGACCGCCGCCAGCGCTGGACTCCTCTCGCGGATCGCGGTGAGCGGGCCGGCGACCTCAGGCTGAGCTCGGGTCAGTCCGGTGTCTCGGGTCGCGGACCATCAGCCGTGTCGTGTCCTCTGCGGTGCCGCACGGTAAGAGCTGGGCCAGGCCTCATTCCCAGCCCCTCCCTTCCTCTGCGGGCCTTAGGTCTCCTTGCCACGCGAAAAAAAACAAAGCGAAACGAGGAACGCAACGACAACATCTCACAAAGATGATTGGGAGACGCCAGCACGCCTGCCGAGCACTGTCACTAGCAGGGAGCTGGACTAGTTCTCGGCCACCATGGCGCCGAACTGGTGGTAGAAGGTGGTGACGATCCTCTTGAGCGGGTCCACCAGCAGGTAGAGGAAGTTCTGCGGATGCCCCGGGTCGCGCGGCACCAGGTCGCCGCCGTCGGCGGACCTGGCCGTGACCTTGAGCACGTGACTGATGACGGTCAGGCCGGCGGAGTCGGCCGACTTGCAGACGCTGCGGCGACACAGCGCCGGTCAGGGCCGGCCGCAGCCGGTGGCCCGGGAGCGGCGAGGTGGCGGGACCACCGCTGACGCGCCTGGAGCGGGCGGCCCCCGAAGGAACTGCACCCTTCTGCGCTCCACACCCCGAGTGTGCATGTCGATAAAGTATCCGACACTAACTACATCCACATGTAGTGACTGTGGTGAACTGTAGTGACTGTAACGACTGGTAAACTGCAGTGGGCTGTTGTGACTAGAAGTCTGTAGGGACGAGTAGACTAATGACTAGTAGACTGTAGTGACCGTAGTAGACTGTAGCGACTAGTAGACTGCAGTGACTGTGGCGACTGCACCGACTGTAGTGCACAGTCACATTGCACCAGCCACCGGAGGGTGTTCCTGTCGGGCTGCTGGCGCACCGCCGCCAGGGGGTGTTCCCTGTCGGTGCCCGCTGGCGCACAGCGCGGTCGCCCACCTGACTAGCTCCTTGTAGATGAGTCGCGTCGCGTCGAGGTAGGGCTGCACGCTGTCCTCGTACTGGCACCAGCGGCCGCCCAGCGCCAGGTGCGCCAGCAGCCGGTACAGAAACTGGCGTCGCTCGTCCGCCGCGAACACGCCGTCGTAGTCGGACTCCTCGCCTGCCAGCAGCTGCCGCCGCCGCCGGCCGGTGAGGCACAGGCCGCCCGCCAGCGCCGGCGCGTCGGCTCCCAGCTCGCTGTGTCGGCGGCCCCTGACCTAGGCCGGCGGCCTCTGACCTCGACCGGAGGTCACGGTTAGCGGTCACGGTCAGCCGTCAGCGGTCAGAGGTCACGGTCACGGTCACGGTCAGCCGTCAGCGGTCAGAGGTCACGGTCACGGGCAGCCGCCAGCGGTCAGAGGTCACGGTCACGGTCAGAGGTCACGGTCACGGTCACGGTCAGCCGTCAGCGGTCCGAGGTCACGGTCACGGGCAGCGTTGGTGCCATGAAATTACTCTGGATCGTAATGAAACCACCAACGACACATTTCGATCTGACATATGATTTATTGCAGTTACATTTCAGCCACAAATCAAACTGCCCACTGAAGTGAGCAACTGGCTTAGCCGAAGGTGAATGAAACCGCGCTAGGTCTTGCGGAAGAAATTGGTTCAGATGGTGGGGACCAGGGAGACTGATGAGAAAATCCCTCAAAGATCATTGGCTCATGAAAAAATATCAACCGTCGAGGAGGTAAACAATTGCCAAGCAAAAGATCATGCGATGACCATCGTACGCGCCTAATCTAGAGATATCTGGGTGCACTCAGAGTTCGGCAAGATAGGTGTCACGTTCCCTCACAATCATTCTCAGACACGAACACTGTATCGTGCAATATATTACTCAGAAGAATACTTGGTCTGTGTATACTTCAGGAGATACGCACCTTGCGGAGCTCATCCGCCAGCACCACATCGCCTACCCAGACCTCCATACACTTCCTGATGGTGCCGTCCTCCCTGACGACGCCGCTGTCGATCAGCTTGTCGAACATGGCCAGCGAGGTCTCGGTGCAGGGCACCTCCTCGACCGACACCGCCTCGGCGGGCGCTCCTACCGAGGTCCAGAGGTCAGGTCACGAGGTTCAGAAGTCAGCTTAGTGGAAAACGAAGCGGACACACATTGTCAATGGTGCGTCATGTTTCAAAGAGCAGACTTGATCATGTTTCAGAGTGCAGACTTCATCATGTTTCAAAGAGCAGACTTCATCATGTTTCAGAGTGCAGACTTCCCGGTTAGCTTAGGTTCGTGGCCTGTCATGCCTTTTGAACGGCATGGCACTTGCATGGGAACAAACGATGTCACTAAGTACGAAATCAATATAACTCCGATATATTACCCTGATGAAGTGAAGGTCACCAGGGTCATGGCTGACGACGGGGTTGTGACAAGGACCACTCATGACCATAACACGCTGGAAGGTCAGGAAGTGACCCAGTTAGATAGATCAATTATGAAGACCGCAGCAAGACCGCACGATGATACATTGCCGGAATATCTCAATTGCATCAACGTTTAGGACCCGCATATTCAGATTCAAGCTGTCCTAGGTCCCTGATTTGAAATGATCTGGACTGAGAAATGTTGTAGTGTACGTGAATACATACACCAGAAAGCATCGAAAATTTCCAAATGGATAGCTTAAACTGTTTTCCAACTGTTCCTGCAGGGTCATGGGGGACGAGTGGAAGCCTGACCTCTTCTCAGACAGCGCAAAGTTAAGAGGGTGCCGTGGCGGGCTGATGTCCCGTCATATGATGACCCTGGACATTACGGCATGACGGCACTGTCCCGTCGGACCGTAGTGTTACGCACCTGACCGCTGCGACATTGCGACATTGCGACCGTCATCACATGACACACAAAACGGCGATCACCCCGATCACCAGCACAGACGGTGCGCGCGGCCAGACACGGACGCCAGGCGGCGATTCCGATCAGGGGGGGGGGGGGGGGAGGGGGCTCTCATTCCGTACGGAAGACATTGGAGGCTGGGACCCGGGCCCTCTCTGGACGAACACGACAGGCCCGACCCTGTGGCGTCGACAACAGACACACCACTGAAAACGGCAGCGTGGGAACGCCCTGCCTTTGAAGGCGATCTTCAGCCCACGGCTCTAACGCAGCCCTGACTCACCCAACACACACCAGCTCCCCGAACTGCTGAGGACCTTCAGGGTCGACAAGACTTCCGTATCCGCCAAGAACTCCTGAGGGACAGAATGTGTATAATAATGCGAAAGATAGCGTGACACGAGGTAATGTAGGAAGAGGGCAGCGCAGCCAACAAGCAATGGCCGTGACCGTGCGCCCTTGTGTCGTTGCCCCGCCTCAGCCGGAAACGCTGATCTTCACCGTTGCGAGAGCGCAGCTCGCCGAGCTCGAACGAGACAAACGCGTCCGGGGCTCGCGCATGTCCAGGGAGCGTTACTGACGCACAGAGGCACAGAGGCCGACGGGCGGGGAAACACCTCGTCCCACAAAACAGCACGAGGCCTGTGGCCTGGATCCCCGTTTACTGGCATAGCGACCATGGACTCTTGACTGATAACTCGGCTGCTTTTTTAGTCACAGCCCCAATACCGACTTGTCCCTGGAGCGAGCAAGCCTCTCTCACCTTCACCCAGTCCTTCGCTTCGTGGACGCCGAGGTGCTTGTCGTAACAGTACGCCTGCACTGATATCCTGCCCAGCATCGACCTGCGGAATAAGGCGGAACGGTCGGCGCTGCCATTGGTCACACACTGTCCGTCCGATGTGTCGCTCGATCAGACACCAGACATCTGATCGCTTGATAGGACACCTGATCTCTTGATCAGACACTTGATCGCTTGATAAGACACCTGATCGCTTCACCAGACACTTGATCGCTTGACCAGACACTTGATCGCTTGATCAGACACCCGATCGCTTGATCAGACGCTTGATCGCTCGATCAGAGGCAGCCCGACGGGCACTGGCCACTGCCAAAGCTGGAACTAGCATTCAATACGTTTCTACAGCGGCAGCTGGTTACAATTTACACACCGAATCCACGGCGCTAGCGGAGGCATAGCTTCCCAACACAACGCACGGATACAGCGGGAGGACACCAACGGCAGAACTGGTACGGCATGCCTGTCGGTGGGAGCCCCCGGCAATACGGACAGGCTGCTTTTTCAATGCTTCAGGCCATCTGACGTGACTACCGCCATGCGTTCCGTTCGGCAACTGTTCCCCCCCCCCCCCCCCGCGCGACGATAGTCTTGGACCCGGCCTGGTCGTCTTCGCCGCGTGGAGGAGAACATGTCTTGTGCCGGCCAGGCTCCGGCGGCCTTGAACGTACGTGCAAAAGCGCAGTGCATACCGTGCGGAAGCGCCTCAGTCGGACAACCCCATGATTCGACAGGCAAAACAAGCCACGTCGCACAGCGGGCGGGACGAGGGTGACCGCCCTTCCCGCCGGTCTCGGCTGTCCGGTAACGGACAGAGCATCGGGCGTCGGGCGGCGCATGGCTGCAGCCGATCGTCTGTGTGGTTGTTTGGATCAGTGCCAATTATGCGTCGCTATATCTGAGCTCGCAGATACGAACAGCGTCTGGCGCTGGGGGTTCAGGTTGATACAAGTAATGTGGGAGGGACGAAGTTCTTCAAATGTGTATTTTTTCGGTCCCTGATGAGGTGTGCTGCGAATGGAGAACAGGGGAAAATATGAGAGAAATAGTAGGCCCGCCCAAAAGAGAGCCAACGCTCCATCCACGGCTCGGGTCGACGCTGGAGGATAGCAAAACAAGACAGCACAGCCGAGCAGCCCGAGTGAGCACCTTGCGGCAAGCCGTTACAACTGGGGCAACGTCGACGGGAGCTGGTTAATTCTCCACCCATGGCTGGAGTTCAGATGATTTCGAGGCTGATAATCCGGGGACGAAACCGTGATGACAATATAATTATCGGCCACCAGACAGGGGCGTGGCCAGAATTGCGCTCAAAAGAGGGCCAAACGGGGTCATGGCGCGTCCTGCCAGCCAACGGATCCCTTTTCATTACTTAGGGTGCTTTTCGGATTGGGGAAAATGCATGCGTCGCCGCGTCCCTTTTTCAATTTTTCATGTCATTCTTAAAAAAGCTTTAGGAGGCCTACACGCGTCTTGTAACTGTCAAGAGTACTGAGATTTCCGGCCTCAACAGGCCGCCATCCTTCCGAGAGGCATGGCCCCAAGAGCTCCCCTTTGGCTACGCCGCTGCTGCCCGGAGTTCCGCTCCACTGGGCACTGGAGACGTCCCTAGCAACTCCACCGAGCGCTGGAAACGTCCCTGGTAACTCCACCGAGCGCTGGATACGTCCCTAGCAACTCAACCGAGCGCTGGAGACGTCCCTGGCAACTCCACCGAGCGCTGCAGACGTCCCTGGCAACGTCCCCTCAAATATCGAGTCATCGGAGCGGATTAAAAGATAGGGACACTTTGAAGATGGTTCAAAAATTTTTATTCTCTTTCAGGGACGGTCCGATTCAAAAACTTTTTATATCCCCCAACAGACGCGGAAGAACAGAAAGTCGTCCCATGTTTCAGAGTAGCAATGTAAGTGATCGAATTTGGAGCACGACCCAAATCCTTTCAAACTAAACCTAAAGCCAAAACTTCGTAGAATTATTGCAGTGATTCATGCAAAAACGCCGAAGCTGATCATCAGGCAGCTCATAACTACTCACGCACTAAAACTAATGTAAACGACTTGCTGGCAAACACAAGTCCTCTTCCATCACGCGTCCCAAACAACAACACATTGCTTACCATTTCATCAAACCTTCTGTGATGTTTTTGTTCTTCAGAAAGTTCCACTCCTTGTTATTAATGTGTTTGAAGCGAAACGCCTCCATAGCTGCGTCCGAGCTGCTCCCAGCCAAGTCTGGCTGCAGCCCCCCGCCAGGTATGTGCCGCTCACCTGCAGAAGCAAGTCCCATGTGAGTGAGCATGGAGTCGACGCTGCGTGACCATAGGCCGTCGACATGCGCAAAAGCTTCAAACCACCATCATAATGTGTATGGAACACGCAGTCAGCCGATTGTAATGCGTGGAAGCTGTCTTCCTCCTGACCCCGCCTCCTGACGAATGATGCACTAGTGGGAAGGGGGACCGGGAGCAAGTGACCCACATCTCATTTGTTTACTCGCATAATATGCACTTAAATTACATGCATGCAAAAACAAAACGTACTTCTGGTTTTTTGATACTCGCTTTCGGCTTCCCGCCAAACTCAGCATGAAGGGGGACACTGAACTTGGCTTGCCCTCAAACGCCCGGGTGTACGCGCGTGACATTTGAAACAAATAATGGTGCAGGTTTCTCGTCTTGCCACTGTTGGGCCAGTCGGCTGTGTCAACAGTCAAAGCGTACCCGCAGCTTACGACGACTACGGATCCAGCATGAGTACTTCTTTGCTGTTGAGTGGTCAACCCGTTATCACATCGACATTTCGAGACGTGACTTACCCGACATTCTGTTGGCTGGGTCCCCAGGAAACCCGTGAGCTTTGGGTATATATGTAGGAACACATAACCATGCCTGGGTGTGGGTGAGAGACACGAGGTGTTTTAAGAAACATTCTACAAGAACAGTTCCCCCCCCAAACGAAAGTCTAGGTCCGCCCCTGCTCAGCATACGTCAGAAAGGCCAAAAGCAGCGTGATCGCAAACGCGTTACCACGGGCGTGGGAACGTCCATGAAAGTGTAGATTGCCAATTTAAAGACAGTATTACATGCATCGCCACTGGGATGATGTAAGCATTCTCCAAAGTGGGGTCCGCAGCCGCCCCCTCCCCCTTCTCCCCCCCTCCGCCCCCCGGTTCCCATCCCTTATATACCGATGCGTATGGTCACTCCATCTTGAAGACCGCAAAAAGTCTTAGATAAGGGGGACGTATTCATTTGCGATAGTCGAAATTCAAACCGCACATCGGAATAAGAACCGGACACACAACATGATTTCTTCACACGACTTCACACCAAGGATAGTTAAAACAACAACGAAACTGTGTCATCTTACGTTCAAGCGGCAATAATTATGGGCTCGCGCCGGCAACGGCGCTCGAAGTGCGCACCAGCAGCAAAAGATGGCGCTGGTCGTTGATTGGTCGATGAGCCAGTTATGCATGGATAACTTGGCGAAATTGGCAGCAGTCCGTAGTTTAGGTGTGGTGTTTGCACTACACCCGTGGTGTATTTTCAGATGGTTACGCCTAATTCTATAGATATTTAATACCACTAGATCAGCAAGCCATGTCAAATTACTAGCAGAAGTGTGCGATCGAAAGAGGGGCATCAGCTGTAAAATAGTATACACTGGCAGGCAAACTGGACAAAATAAGGGAAGTGGGGCAAGTTACGGCCAACCCGGACTGATTGTGTTTTGTGAAGCGCATGAGCTCGTCAGCTGAATCAACGCCCCATTCGCCTTCGTCGTATATGTTATCGGTAAGCCATACCCCGGCCGTTTACTATGTCAAACTAGATAAACTTTTCAACATATTGCGTACCCCCACCCTCCTCTTTAGGATTATCCCAACAACACCAGTAGAGTACCACTGAAAGCCAACATCACTTGATCCCACTTTATAAATGCTGTAGGGGCGGGGCCAAGCCCCCACCGCTTAGGTTTAAACCCAAGAAAGCGGAAACAAATGATTAAATCGGCCTCATCAGGTTAGTGACGTCATTTTCTACCAACATTTCTCCCCAGCGGAGGTGCTACACTCAGACCATCTCCCTTCAGCACTTCAAGGACTTCAAAGGCGGTGCCATGGCGTGCACCGTGTCGTCGCGGCGGGACCCGGTGGTCAGCGTGCAATGCATGGAAGTGTGGTTCTCTTATCAGTATTGCAACATCTTGGGAAATTAAGGCATTGGGTGCTGAGCAGAATACCGTGCACATCGTAAAACATGGTAAATAACTACCTTCGCAAATTCAGCCCGTGGGTATTTGGTTCAATCATTCCCTTACCTCTCACAGAGTCAAGTACCTCCGCAAGGACCCTGTCTGTCTCCCAACATCACCTAAGCTATGGTTGCAGGAGGGCAACCACGACATCAGCTATAATCTGCTGTGGTCAGTGCCTACATGAGTGCCCTAGTAGTAACAACCAGAGAGCGCAAGCAGCGCGCACCAACAGTAAACACTAACCTTGCCCGACAATCCCTGCCGCCCGCGCAAACAGCAGTTCCGAAGCTGTCACTGACGCCTGAAATACGAGGCATGCAGAAGCCTTGTTGTTGCTATGGCAACCACAAGGGAGGAACTAAACGATCGACAAAACCTGCGGATAGCCTCATGTGCCGAACTTACAGGACGGATCGACACCAAACCTTCACGAGTCCATGCCACTTAGTCGAAAACCTGCGCTGTCCACAAAATGGTGACCTTGGCTCAGGTCAAAGGTCATCAAAATATCATAAAGCTTAAAAACCGGTTTGCAGAAGACCCTTGCTCCAAGCCCATGCGACCGATCTTTACAAAACCTTCACTAGTGGGCGCGCTATAATTAATATTCCACCCTTTCCAGAAGATAATGACCTTTGGTAAGGTCAGAGGTCACCAAATGACCCCCGAAACCATCGAAATTTGCTGCGGACAGCCCCATGCTCCAAACATATGGAGCTGATTAGCGCGAAACCTGTAATATATGCGCAGTGGGCGATAATTTTTCTTTCAAAAAAGATAATGACCTCAGGTCCTGTCAAAAATCACCAAAAACGCAGGAGACCGACAAAAGCAGTCGACAGTTGGCTCAATGCTACACACTCATGACACAGAGTGTCACAACACCTGCATCTCAGATGTGCCGGGGTCGATATTCAATTCTTTAGGGAAAATGATGACCTTGGGTCATCTCAAAGGTAGCCAGAAATGTCCGAAATCGCCTAAATTGGTTGAAGACATCTCTATGTTGTGAGTTTGTGGGACCGATCACCACACAAGTTTCACTGCTTGATGTGCCATAGTTGATAATCTGCTCTATCCAGAAGATCGGACCTTGGGTCAGATTAAAAGTATCCAAAAAGTCCCGAAACTGACAAAACTGATCGTTGGCGGTTTCAAACATTCCGTTGTCAGCAGTTTTGTGGAGCTTTGACCTTACCCAGGGCCACCAGCTTCTGGAAAAGACAGGCTATCGACTATGGCAAATAGGTCGGCAAGGGTGCTGGGCGGATCGATCCCATCTGCTCTGAGCATGTGGCTTGCCTGCAAACTGATTTCTGGCGGTTTCGGACGTTTTCGATGAGCTTTGATTTGACCCAAGGTCACCATGTTTTGGAAATGAAAGGTGATCGACCACGGCGCGCCGATTGGTGAGTGTTTCTTGTCCACATACGCTGAGAGCACGTGGTTTTATGTAAGCTGACTTCTGTAGCGGTATCGGGCGTTTTTGGTGACCTTTGACCTGACGCAATGTAACATGCACTAGAAAGGGTAGGTTATCGGCCAAGCGGCATCTATTTGTGAAAGTTTGGTCTCGTCCAATTCCATAGGCTCAGCACATCGGTTGTCAACAGGATTTGTCGGTCATTTAGTCGCTCCCGCTGCCCCCCCCCCCCCTTCCCCAACGTGGGCTCCAGCTTCTCCCCCCCCCCTCCCAACTTTGAGAAGGGAGTGGTCATACCTCGGGGAGAACCGCGCTTGTTGGCTGTGGCGGGGGTGAGCTGGGTTATTTTTCACTGATCAGCTGCCGCGCCCCTCCCCCAACTCATTTTGCATAACTGCATCCCTGTGACACGATGCCAGCCTACTAAGTGTTGGAAGAGAACTCTGGTGGTGTGAATGCTATGGAGATGGCATTAAATATTTTGAAGTTACGGGTAATAGCCCAAATTTAGATCGGGTCTTGCCGCCCTCCCCCCCTCCCCCCCCCCCTGCCCTCCTTCCCCCTTGCCTGGCTGCTTGCCCTGTGGTAAGTTTTTAGCCGTGTAGAAGTACAAGCAGAAGCGTATTTTCTATTTTTCAGGTATTTTCCAAGTCCCAGGGAAAGCTGATCTATTCTCGGGTGATCTCTGCGTTCCTCTACCTTATGCGCGCTCCCATTTTCTGGTTCCTGTTCACCTACTGCTGGCTTAATCCCGCAGGAACCTGTTTTTGACAACGAATGGGCTATCCGTAATTTGTAGAGCAATTTGGGCTTGGTTCTACAAATGCGTTGTGACAATGAAATTCACTGACCTATATGAAACAGACGGGCTTTCAGGTGACAGACGGGCTTTTCAGACCTTTGGCCTGAGCCCTGTATTTGACATATCGTCACTTAATTCGCAGATGAACGGCTGCTCCCCAGTGCCGGTGCAACCAAGGAGAGGCATTAAGGCGGCATACGTTCAAACTTCCCCTCATGGCGGCTGATTACCCTACAACACTACAAGGATGGGGCTTTTAACCTGTTACCACCTGAGGATGCAGCATAAGGCTGCCCCTGTGACTTTTGCGACGATTGTCCGCAGGTTTCACAGTTGAACGGCCCCTCACCAGCACGGGTCAGAACATAGACAGTCGGATGAAGATGGAGGTTTGCTGCGGGCTCTGCTGGGGGACTATTTGTGGCCTATTTGGTTTTAGACGTTTTTGTTAAGACCAGCGACAGGGGTGAGGCATGCCCTCAACCGAATTGTAAGCGGGATGGGCGTAACCCTGTCTGTGAGATCGGGAAAACAATCCGGATGGAGAGTCAAGGTGAAATTCAGGGGCAGGGGGGAGTCCGACCTAATTGACTCAAAATGTTTGCTATTTACGAAGCTTTTTACCATTCAATGGTAACGTGTGCATTTCAGGGGCATATACCAGCCGCGCGTGGGTACACTCGTGATCAGCAGCATGATCCCGCCGTCGTGTACTGTAATCCTTTCAGGGGCATATACTAGCCGCGCGTGGGTACACCCGTGATCAGCAACATGATCCTGCCGTCGTGTACTGTAATCCTTTCAGGGGCATATACCAGCCGCGCGTGGGTACACCCGTGATCAGCAACATGATCCTGCCGTCGTGTACTGTAATCCTTTCAGGGGCATATACCAGCCGCGCGTGGGCACACCCGTGATCAGCAGCATGATCCCGCCGTCGTGTACTGTAATCCTTTCAGGGGCATATACCAGCCGCGCGCGGGTACACCCGTGATCAGCAACATGATCCTGCCGTCGTGTACTGTAATCCTTTCAGGGGCATATACCAACCGCGCGTGGGCACACCCGTGATCAGCAGCATGTCCCCGCCGTCGTGTATTGCAATAATTTCAGAAGCATATGCCAGCCGAGAGTGGGTACGTCCGTCATCAGCAGCATGCCCCCGCCGTCGTGTATTGCAATCCTTTCAGGGGCATATACCAGCCGCGAGTGGATACATCCGTGATCTGCAGCATGCTCCCGCGGTCGTGTCTTGCAATCATTTCAGGGGAATATACCAGCCGCGAGTGGATACACCCGTGATCAGTAGCATGCTTCTGCCGTCGTGTATTGTAATCATGATCTGACATGCGAATCATCCGCGCCGGTCGACGTGGGGAGTGCTGAGTACCGGGATATTACCTGGCTTGATCTAGGCGAGCCCGATACCGGATATATACTCTGGCCAACGTCTTATCGCTGCAGGGCAGGCTCAAGAAGTTAAGAGGCGACAGGGTTGCATCACTGTCTCGAAAAGTTCAGAAACCGATGCCAGCAAACCCTGGGTCGCGGAGTCCTTGCTGGGAATCTGGTGTGTCTGACCGACATGTTAAACTTGTCGTTTTCCTACTTTAGTTCTTTTTACAGCGGGAAGTGTGGATTCCCTTGATGGATATCCAGAAGGCAAAACAGGGATGTATTTTAAAGCAGAAAATGCTCAAACAGCCTGTGTCGTCACGTGCGTATATTTCTATGGACTTGCGTTTGGCATTTTATGCATTTGTATGAATTTGCCACATGTTTCACAACTGAATAGCTTCTCGCCTATGTGCGTGCGTGCATGGCCCTGCACATTTATGCCGTCCGTCGTGACAGGCCATGTTCCACAGACACTACGAGTGTGAGGCTCCGAACCAAAAGCCACTCGAACATGCAAATTGAGACCACTGCTGTAACCGAACGACTTGCTGCAGGTTCCGCAACTGAGCGGCTTTTCACCGACGCGGGTCAGAACCTGAACAGCCAAGTGGTGGCAGCGACTGAAGGGTCTACCGCAGGACCAACGACGAAACCACGACACAGGTCTTGACTCTTGCTTTTGGATGACATCTTAGGCGTGTGCTGCTACCGTTGTGGAAGCCGGTGTGAGCAGGCTTAAACGGTTAAGAGGAAAGTGGTCGTCCATGAACACCTCAGCTGTATGGCTTTTCAACCATATTAAGAAAAATACGTTCCTACGCGACCTCGACCATCGAGGGGGCTTTCAAGTGATTCAAGACTAACAGGCTTAATTTGGTGCATGTTTCGATGTGCCGTGGTGACTGTGGTAAAATCACCACAGTTACCAACAGTCATCAGCAGTCGCCAACAGTCACGAAAATTCATAGCTGCCAGGCCTCCGGGCCGGTTCATCTGGAGGGGCCGGCATAGGGCCCACGGTGGATGGGCGCTCGAAGGTGACGTGCTCTCGTACTTTCGTGCCCAGCTCATGATTGCAGGTGTACCCATGACGGGGTTTGCTAACGGTAACAGTGTTTTATAATACTTTTTACTGCGCATAAGTGAAGGATGAAATGCAGCGTGCTGTTTTCGGCCTCCATGTTTCAGATGACATGAGGTAACTGAACAAAAAGGTGGTCTGTGCGTGCGTGCTTCCGTGCTGCAGCTGTATTAGGAAGGCGCCGTAGAAGCACATTCGTCGCAATGGCCGGATCACTGGCAAGATTGGCCCGTGCCTGAGGGGAAAGTATTGCCAGCGTGCAATTTAATGGTAGCCATACAATCAGGCGATACGAGGTCACCTCGCGCGATAAGAGGCCAGTAAAAAAATGCGCGCAATAAGAGGCCAGTAATTCATAGCAATTAAGATCAGTGAAAGAGTCTATCGTCCATACAGCGGTGAAATCATTCAGAACGGTGAGCAATAATTAAGCACGAAATGCGTGGTCGGTACAGGAAAAGAACATTCACCCTCAAAAAACACTGCCAGACAGAGATACCGCTTGGAAAAAACAATGCAAAGGGACTGCCTCGTAAAATAAGACACACATTCACCAGCCTGGTTCGCTGCATTAAACACTACATAAGTCAAAGATCTAGAAAGAGCATAATATGTACATGACTCGATCTAGCGCACCGCGGGGTCTGCTCATCTCCAAGCTGGCCCGCACGCACACATGGGTAAATACAACGGCAGCGGCCAGCTCAACACCAACGCTCCATATTTAAAGCATGGAACCGGTTAGTTCAGGGGCGAAACCGGAGAGCTCAAAACCGGCTACTTCAGGGGCGAAACCGGAGAGCTCAAAACCGGTCAATTCAGCGGGCGACCGGCGAGCTCAAAAGGGTGAGACCAGATAATGGTCGATCCAACATCCCGTCCAGCAAACACAAAGCTGGCTGGACGCGGAGTGTGGACTGACACGTATCCAGGGCCACAAAGCGTCTCGACGCTATCGGCAGTCAGTTGCTCTGAAACAGGCTGATTATCGGTTTTCTAAGGTGACTAGATGGAGAGTCATGATTAGCGTAATAGGTCCGAATTGTAATGGGCAATTTTGATTCAACGGGAAGCGCCTCGACGTGGCTCAGTGGCGATTAAGGGTTTGTGACGACGGCTGAGGAGCGTGGCGCGCGCGGCCCATGGCCCGCTGACGGCGGCGGTGGCCAGCCTCGCGCGCGGCCCATGGCCCGCTGACGGTGGCGGCGGCCAGCCTCGCGCGCGGCCCGTGGTCCGGCAGGTGGGGATGGCCAGCCTCACGCGCGGCCCATGGTCCGGCAGGTGGGGATGGCCAGCCTCGCGCGCGGCCCATGGTCCGGCGGGTGGGGATGGCCAGCCTCACGCGCGGCCCATGGTCCGACAGGTGGGGATGGCCAGCTTCGCGCGCGGCCCATGGTCCGGCAGGTGGGGATGGCCAGCCTCGCGCGCGGCCCATGGTCCGGCAGGTGGGGATGGCCAGCCTCACGCGCGGCCCATGGTCCGACAGGTGGGGATGGCCAGCCTCGCGCGCGGCCAATGGTCCGGCAGGTGGGGATGGCCAGCCTCGCGCGCGGCCCATGGTCCGGTGGAGGCGGCGACCAGCCTCGCGCGCAGCCCATGGTCCGGTAGGTGGCGAAGCCAACGCACGACGCCGATTCGAGCGGCGATCGACGATCGATATCAATCGCAGCTACTTGAACCAACCGAGGCAGTCAAAGCTCTCGATGGCGTGGCGGCTTTTGAGCATGCCGAGCGTGGTCGGAGGCGTGGCAGTGGTGGCGGCAGCTGTCAGAATAGAACATTTCCCATAACGGGCTCAGTGAATGGCATTGCATTAAGACATAAAGAAATGAAACTTGTATAGCTGCATGGCCTTCCATTCATGTACCTCACATTGTTTGAAAACTCACTGCGTTTTGGGTCCTGAGCCTTCCTTTCTCATTCTACTTTTGCTGTTTGCTGACCATACCATGGTGTAATTGTCTTTTTCACCGGAAGCACAAGAAAACATTTGTCACTGTCGTACACGCAAGAGTGCGCGTAATCCCGGGTGGATCGCCACCTTAGCACTGAAAGTCCCTCCCGCTACCGGACTCAAGAGCTGCCTTTCCTCATGCCTTCAGCCAGAAATATGAAACCGTCTGCAAAAAGATGCTTAGGAAATGCCTGAAAACTATCACCTACTGAGGATGTTCCGGAGAAACTAGCGTAAAAAACGAGCAAGGGGGAATTCCTCGCGTAAAACAACATTCTGTGTGTAAAAAGGGAAAAGAGTAACCTTTTCTTAATGCATACGTAAGCGAGATCCCAAGCAAATGTGCTGTGACGATCAATCTCCCAACAGACCCTGTACGAAGGGGATGTAACTGATGGTCGGTACAGCTATCGTTCATCGGAGAAGTACCCTCGGGATTTCAGTGATGAAGGAGTGAGTGTAGGCGATGCAATGCATCAATAGCCCACCATGTGGAGTCATTACCTCAAGTGCAAGGACAATGCTATTTTACAGCTCTGTCTTAACTAGATGGCTTGTGCAGGAAAGTGGCAACGATAGCAGCTCTCACAGGATTGAAGCGTCTGTGATATGTTGGAGTGGTTCATAGCCATGGCCCCATATTTCCCATGGGCATAACGATTCATATGATGAGCAGTAACTCAGGAGCTCGGTGTAAAAGAAAGAGCAATGAATGCATGGAGACCGTAGCTGTGAGCACCTAAAAATGAAACGTTCTCTGACCTTAAGTGCCTTTCAATAAGTTAAGCGACAGAAAGATATCTGCTGTTTGTACCAGAACAGGATCGGTATGCTTCAAAGAAAAATGCAGCCATCGCGGTAGATGGAGTAGGTCATCTGCCCGGAGTTAAGTGTCCTAGAACAAAAGTACGAATCTACGTAATTCCAAGTTGCATCGCACTGAGCGATGATCGATCATAGATCTAGAAACAACTAAGTCCGACTGATGCGCCAAATTCATGAGTGAATTTTAAAATCGCAAGACCAGACAAAACTGCTCTGTTCCCCGCTCGTTTGTCTACAGGACACAATTTGGGAGTGCGGAGCCGGCATTGTCACGTTATGAAACTGGGTCTTGTTGGTGCGGCCTGCCCTCCGGCGAACCGCCGCGCAGCCTGCGCCTGGTTCCGCCTCTGCGCCTGGCTCCGCCTTTGCGCCGCCTGCCGGCCGGGGGACGCGGGACAAGAGAGCCCACCTCGGCAGAGGCGTCCTCCTCCGGGCCGAGCGAGGTCGCCCTGGGCTTGTCCTCCCCCGGACCGAGCGAGGCCGCCCTGGGCCTGTCCTCCTCCGGGCCGAGCGAGGTCGCCCTGGGCCTGTCCTCCTCCGGGCCGAGCGAGGTCGCCCGGGGCCTGTCCTCCTCCGGGCCGAACGAGGCCGCCCTGGGCCTGTCCTCCTTCGGGCCGAGCGAGGCCGCACTGGTCCTGTCCTCCTCCGGGCCGAGCGAGGCCGCCCTGGGCCTGTCCTCCTCCGGGCCGAGCGAGGTCGCCCTGGGCTTGCCCTCCCCCGGACCGAGCGAGGCCGCCCTGGGCCTGTCCTCCTCCGGGCCGAGCGAGGTCGCCCTGGGCCTGTCCTCCTCCGGGCCGAGCGAGGCCGCCCTAGGCCCGTCCCGTCAGCCCGGTCCGTCTGCTCCCCGGCGGTCTGCGCGTCATGGCAACGCTTGCGGCCGTCCCTGGACTGGAGAGCGCTGTAACTTTTTGGAAGGGCTGCTGGCGTCAGGTGAGGCATCTCCTGAGGGAGGGAAGCGTTGAGCACTACTTGCTGAGAGTGTATTGACAACATTTGGGCGAGTCCCGGTGTGCATTGTCTAGGTGGGTGTAAGCGCGGTCAAAGTTTCACCAAAGTTCCTCCAAATCCCCAGGTTCAATCTGATTTTGGCAAGTTCCAGTGCTCGTAGCAACCCTTCAACCAGCCCAACTTCGCTGCAGTGTATGGAAACGATAGGCTATTGACCAGACACGCAGCAGAATTCCTTGCGGGGGGGGGGGACAGGCTCGGTAAGCGTACATCAAGCCGATTTTTTATTTTCTGTCGGGAACCATCCATGGTCAAATATGGAACCACTGGAAATGATATGCTATCTGGATGCCATCCATATAGATGGCATTATGGACGGCTGGTGAGCAAAATGCAGGTGAATGCAACAGCTTTGTGCGCCCGCGCAATACAACAACTTTAAAATATAGAGGTGGGCATAAAAAGCAGGAAAATGTGTGATGAACTTTGCTTGAAACATGCTTCGACAATGCTCTGGATGGTAACACCGAAGTGTTGGAGCTGGGGCCTTCAGGAAAGGACTTCTTCAATACGGCTAGAAGCTTGGTGTTCGGCAGACCGGGTGAGTATTGCATTATTGCGACGGTTCCCTTAAAGGGAGTGTTCGATATTTATATGAGGTTTTGAACTGGAATAGCCATCTTGAAGTCCTTTCGGTGTCATTCATAGTCTGCCCCTCGTAAGACCTAAGCCACTCTAGTTTCTGAACCACAGGCCCGTGAAAATGGGGAGTGGTGTATCAAGGAGAATATTTCAAAACCACCTTGGCGTTCATGACATCATAATAACGTCATTTAAATTCTGCCCTTGCATAAACCATGCGGCGACCAGAGCCAAAAATAGGCTGTCGTGGCTTCCACATCTGACGTTCACGACCGCCATTTTTAGATCTAACGACCGTCAATTGGCTTTCAGTCAATGATGTACATGGTACGATGACGTAATCAAACCATGACCCATTGAAGAGCATGTCTATTAAACAGAGAATTGTGCTGTCAGAGCAGTCTTCTCCGCTTACAAAGTATCCCAATAATTATAACTAAACTTGTTTCATCATACCTGATGCTTATTTCAATATCTTCAAAAGAGAAACGTTTCCTTTAATTTTCTGATCGGATGTTGTCCGAAGTGATAACGCGCAGCACGCGAGGGACACTATTACAAAACCTCGGGCGAATTACAACATGCTTGCATGGGCGCGTGATATAAACTTATTTTCGTGGGTCAGAATTCCAGGAAGGTGACTGAAATATCTGATTAAAGATCGGAGTAATGCTCCCGCATGGCTGTGTTCCTCAGCCGCGGCCGGGGTCGGCACTACCCCACTCAGGCCCGAAATATCTGATTAAAGATCGGAGTAATGCTTCCGCTTGGCTGTGTTTGTCAGCCGCGGCCGGGTTCCACATTAACCCACTCGTGCCAGACGACGGGTGTCGGTCAGCCAACGTCTGTTGACTCGTCGTTGTAATCAGGGGTCGTCTATTACACCGTTCCAGACGCAGCCGCGGCCATCAAGCCCAATGCGTTGGCGCTGTTGACTTCAGACAAGGGGCTGCAGAATTCCATCTCTGGTTAATCTTCCTGTACATTGGGCACGGACATCAATAACTTTTCATTAGTGGCAGTGCTGGTAATGCACTATAAGTGGTAGTGCTATTAGCCGAAATAGCATCGCAGTGCTTCTGTGCTACGCCCACAATTATTGTTTTGTCATTACGTCATTGTTTTGCCTATGAAATAGCCCACGCTGGCACTCGGTGTGTTTTACTTTAATTCTTTTTTGTGACAAACATTATGCCGACGTTTGTCGGTGCTGCCAAACATTGGCATTCCGATCGTAGGTAGGCACGGGATTGACCGCAGATTACATAATATCCACATCTTTTCTATCTCTGCAACCTGCATCCCATTAACCAGTTAACATCGGCCATAACTGGAAGGCATTCGTTCGTCACATTGTAACGCGCCAAAGTTGGACGGCGTATCAAAAACTTGTAATCTGGGAGGACATCTGAACACGATAGATCATGCTGTTTCAGCATGTACCTTTGAGCTAAGCTGCTCAGTTGAAAACAAGGTTTCATATCCGCTGTGTGGTAGGTGTGTGGGTACCTGCATCTGGTGACACAAGCGCATCACTTTTGAGGCGAACTGATATTGATCCGTACAGTGATGTGCAGTCGTTCTTACCCAGTCGCTGATTTCCGGTCCTGGCAAAGTCCGGATGGACTTCTTGCGTTCTTGTTGGACATGACGTAAGAAGGCTGCAAGAAGGCTGCTCGCATCATCTCTTTCTGGCCTCTCCAGTTACCACTAACCACCCACCTTGTCGTTCCACGTCAGATCGCACAAGATACGGTCGATTCCTTTCGAATTTGATTGGGTTCGGTACGCTCCTGGTTTTTCGAAAGGAGGGGGAGGGGGTCAAAAGACAAATCCTCAGGCGAGAACATGGGCGAACTGGTTATTACACGGGAAGAATGATATTTTGATCTCTCTAGGGAGGATGAGGGCTGATGTGTTCCTTTCGGGGAAAATGGGCGACCAATGTCGGTAAGCATGGCAAATGAGCCGAAAATGGTTCTCGCGACTTGGCCAAGCCAAGGGACATTCCGGGATCATAGGGAAACAATCATTCATCAATGTCACCTGCGCTATTGGCCATTCAAATGGCGAAGGCTACCTTTCTGTAACACCAAAACACCGAGCTGTGGGCTTTTGAACCGTGCAGCATCTGTAAAAAGTTGTGACCTGTATTGACCTCTATCTGACTTCAGTGATCACCTATAATTGGTTCCCGGTAGCTGTTTTTGGATACGTGCTTTAAGCGTTCCAAATATCATCAAAATCAGATGTGACAAGTTGGGCCATATCTTGTGCAGTTTACCATGCAATAGCCCTCGTACCAACCGTTAGCTTTTAATTGTTTACATCTGTTATGATTGTTTTGCCTACCACTTTCGAGTGCTCGGTTTCCCTGATATTTCTCATGCGGAGCCTCTCACTTGTATTTCCGTTTTCTCACTGATTTAATGTACTGTATTAGCTATTACTCAGGATGTGGTCGGCAAAAGTCTTGGTAATGTTACGGATGTACGCAAAATAGAAGAAACACTCCTACAGCCCTGGAAATATGCACCTATTATGTATAGATCTTAATTCTATATCTGCATGTGCCTCTAGGATTGGCGATGGAAAATAGGATGTAGCGTGATATTTGGAAACAAATCATATAGCCGGTCACAAAATTCTGAAATCAGAGATTTCCTCGCTATGTAATCGGCAACCTGATCAATTTCATCGCCTGCATGGACATCAAACACGTTTTTGTCCGACGCGGTACGGCAGCAACGTAAAACTGTATGCATTGCTCTCAGTTGGGCTTTGTTGTGCAGACTTTGTTTTAGCCGTACTGAATTCGCCGCTTTCATAAATCAGGTCGAAGAGTGTTCGATACGAGCCGCTGCCATCTCACTGGCCAAGAATGGTGGAGCAGTATCACTCCGGCCGCGCGTGATCGGCTGATGGTGGAGCAGTATCACTCCGGCCGCGCGTGATCGGCTGATGGTGGAGCAGTATCACTCCGGCCGCGCGTGATCGGCTCATGGCGGAGCAGTGTCACTCCCGCCACACGTGATCGGCTCATGGTGGAGCGGTTTCACTCCGGCCGTACGTGATCGGCTCATGGTGGAGCAGTATCATTCCGGCCACACGTGATCGGCTCAGTTGTCCACTGCCGATCGCCGTCCAACTGCGAGGCCGTGCGCGCGCCAGCGATGCCCCTAAAATAATTATGTAAAAAACACAGCTTGGCTCTGAAACGAAGAAACCTTGATATTGTATTGCTATTGCTGTGTGTTTTATGTCATATACGGTCACCTCAGGATCCTACCATGACATGCCCCATGTTACTGTGAGGCGCTCTGATTGTTAAAACGTCCGCAGTGAATGAGCCAGACAGCCTGAAGGCTTCAGCGCAGTTGCATGGCGCGCCAGGAAGCTAGACGGAAAAACGCTCTTTTGTTACGGGTCGCGTCAGCGTCCTTTCAGGGCGCGAGGTAGTCTTTCACGGTGAGAGGTGGTCTTTCAGGGCGAGAGATGGTCTTTCAGGGGGGGAGGTAGTCTGTGTACCGCTCAGCCAACCAGCTTGGTTCCAACCCAATATTTATCCTCTCCCGTGAGACTACTCGTCTCAAAAGGATCCTGAAGCCTGTGGCAACGTTCGGTATGTAGGCAGTTTTCCGATCGTGCTCGGCAGGGCATGAGCACTGGCGCCAGATCGGTTACTTTGCCGGGTTGGCTCGTCCTAATATGCGACTAATCACGACTCGTCAGTGCCCCGTTAACCGTTTCTTCGACGCGGCACCGCAAAGTAGCTGGGCCTACCGCACATCACTACAGCTGCAGAAGCGCATTCCTTCTTTCAGATTAAATCCGAATCTATGAATGAATGCATGCATTTCTGGGATCACAGCTAACGCTAAGCAGTGCCTGCTGTGTGAACCCTCACCCCAGCCATCCGATTGCGCAATTCCATCTCAACGGCAAAAAGTTTGTGGCGAAAAGTTAGTATACCGCAGTGCTCGGCACGGTCCGCCCTGCCCTCTGACGCCATCTGACGGCTGTCACGAGCCGCAGGCCATGCCTTTCGAGGGCAAATAACGAGCGCCTAAAGCGACTCGAACCCACCCCGCCACGGGTGGGCGGATCGGAAAGCAGGCACTCTAAACAGCTGAGTCACCGGGACGGACATCAGCCTTTGTCCCCCAGGATGCTCTGTGGAGCCAACCATGGACCATGGCCTGATGACTCCAAGGACAGCTGCGAGGCCATGGTTGGGTAGGGCCACAACTTATCAGAGCCGTCATAGATAAGTCGTCCCGCGAACATGCGGAAAACCTGACAGGGCTCACAAAGTCTCTTGCGAGGGAATCCGCACATCATGAGATGAAGTCTGATCAGGGGCGCCTGTCTTCAGATGCGCCCTCGTTCTGCTGTGGGTCTTGCAGTTTCCAGCGTTCCAATCAGGAGAATCTCGCAGAACATCCGAAAAGTCAGCACCAACACAACACACTTGTCTCGGCTTCACGTGGTCAGTGCCAGCACGACAGCGAAGACTCGGAGCGCAGATTCTGTGGACAATCACGCAGTGAAAGACTCGAAGGTCAACGTCTGGATGCCACTCCTGTAACTGAGGAGACCTACAGATGTCACGTCAGCGGGAAGACATTCAGCCAGAACCTCTCGCTGTAACTGAGAAGACCTACAGGTGTCACGTCAGCGGGAAGACACTCAGCCAGAACCCCTCGCTAGTGATGACACTCCTGTAACTGAGAAGACCTACAGGTGTCACGTCAGCGAGAAGACATTCAGCCAGAACCCCTCGCTAGTGTTGCATGTCATCAGCCACACTGCCCGAGGCGGGACCTTTCCCATGTAAAACATTTGGAAGACTTTTCGCCACGAAGAATGAAATCGACGCCCCTGCCTGCATTCACACAGGAAAAAGAGCGTTTGAGTGTGATTTTTGTGGCAAACTTTGCGGAGCGAAGAGCAATTTGGTAAGGCACGCTCGAGCCCACCCTGATCACAAGCCTCTTACTTGCAGCGTTTGCGAGAGATCATTTGCGGAGAGAGCGCGGCTGACTGGCCACAGCCTGACCTGACCTGACCCACACGGTAGGAGGCCGTTCAACTGTGACGTCTGTGGGAGATCAGTCAGGACCCGCCAACAGTCAGCCATCCATCTCAAGGCCCACATTAGGGCGAAGCCGTGCACTTGTAACGTTTGTGGGAAGCCGTTCCCTCTGAACAGCAGTCTCGTGTTGCACACTCGGACCCACACCGACGAAAAACCGTTTGAATGTGAGGTCTGTGGGAAGTTTTTCGCTAACAAAAGCAGCCTCATGCAGCATACGCGGACTCACACCGGTGAGAAACTGTGCGGCTGTGAAGTTTGTGGCGGGGTGTTCAGTCACCATAGGGACTTAAGGGGTCATGCTCTTATCCACACCGGTGAGAAACCGTACGGCTGTGAAGTTTGTGGCGAGGTGTTCAGTCACCATAGGGACTTAAGGGATCATGCTCTTATCCACACCGATGAGAAACCGTACGGCTGTGAAGTTTGTGGCGAGGTGTTCAGTCACCATAGGGACTTAAGGGGTCATGCTCTTATCCACACCGGTGAGAAGCCGTTTAAATGTGACGTGTGTGACAGATGGCTCATAGACAGCGGTCAGTTCAAAACCCATGTCATATCAGGTCAGTTCAAAACCCATGTCATGACCCACACTGGAGAAAGGCCGTTCATCTGCTAAGTCTGTGGGAAGTCGCTCCGTCGAAGGAATGTTCTGGCATGTTCTGTTCTGCGTGTTCATGTTCTGTTCTGCATATTCATGTTCTGCTCTACATGTTCATGTTCTGTTCTGCATGTTCATGTTCTGTTCTGCATGTGCTGTTCATGTTCTGTTCTGCATGTTCATGTTCTGTTCTGCATGCTCATGTTCTGTTCTGCATGTTCATGTTCTGTTCATGTTCTGCATGTTCTCACACACGCCGGTGAGAACCCGTTTAGCCCTCAGATTTGTGGCAAATCGGCTAGCCTTCGTTGCCAATTGGTCGAGCAGTTCCTGGTCGACCCCCGGTGAGGCACCTTCTCATTGTTAAGTGCCTGAAAAGCTGCTTGCTCACAGAAACAGCCTTGAAACCCACACTCAGGCTCACTCCGGTGAGAAACCCGCTCTGACTCACTCCGGTGAGAAGCCGTTCCGCTGCACAGTCTGTAGCAGGCCGTTCCGAGCTCGTGGCCAGTTACGTGAGCACGACCGGATTCGCGCCGCTCAGAGGCCATTCAGTTGTGAGCTCTGTGGCCAGACGTTCAGGCTTCGAAAGCAGTTAGGCGCAGGTGATCAGAGCCACACAGGCAAGAAGCCATTTCATTGTGAAGCTTGCGGCATGGCCTCCAGGGAGCGCTTTCGGTTAGACAGACATGCTTTGACCCACACTGGATTGAAGCCGTTCTTTTGCGAAGTCTGTGGGAAGTCGTTGCGTCCGAGCAATATTATTGCGCTGCACGTTCGGGCACACGCTGGAGAAATGCTATTTAGTCGTGACGTATGTGGTAAACTGTTCAGTGTTCGTGGCTAGTTCGACGAACATGTTCGGACCCACAACGGGGAAGACCCGTTCCGATATGAAGCCTGTGACACGTCGTTTATCAGTCGCAACAGTTGTACCACGCATGTGAGGACCCACACTGGCGAGGAGCCGTCTAGTTTCGACCCCTGCGAGGCTGCGTTCTGGACTCGCCAGCATTTTAAGTGTTACCCGAAGACCCGCGCTGGAGTCAAGTCCGCGTTCACTCATAGAGTTGTGGGAAGGCGTTCTGCTATACGAGCAGCTTTGTGGTACACGCCCGGATCCACACCGGAAAGACGCCGCTGACTCTGGATGATCCTCCCACCGCCATTATAAAAATTTATGTTGGATTGCATCTATATTTCATGGCTTATGGACTCCTTAAAGTCATTAACATCGTCAGGCATGCAAACCAGGCGCAAAAACACCATGCCATGCATTGTTCAGTTTGCCGGAGCGTCTCGAATTCCTGTTTATTTTCGGTGAAGTGAAACAGGTTCCATTTAAGCTTGTAGAATGCGTGCAAGATAAAGCACTCTCAATACAAGGGCATCTCTAAACAACGAGACATAATTTCGTGCATTCAACGTGGCTGTGACAAGGTTTAAGGTACACAATGTGCACAGGTATTTGCTTATTCAGATAATGCTGCACATGCAAGGTGGGTATCATTGTCATCCACATATATCATGAGACTTCATTGCAAGTCACACCTACCACTTTATTGCCTGCACACCAGAGTTGTGCGGCCATATAAAGACAGTAAACCTCCCACGTCCATCTGCCGGTTAATCACGCCCGCAATATATGCGCCTTTTAGGATCTTGAGCTGGTCATTCTTGCTAGTATATTCGGCCCCGCAGGTCGTGCTATCGATCCTGATGTTCAGGGTGAGCTATGGCCCAGACGTTACTCCAATATGCCTTAATGGAGCACCGGTCGGCGGGTGCATGGGCTACGGCGATGTGTGATCGTTGTGGTATGAGTTGTTGGAGATGAGTTCTGAGTGTTCATACATGCCTAATGTGGTGTCATCGTAACAAATGCCTCCTTTGCTCATAAAACATTTCTGACACGGCCGTGCTGACATGCTGACATCTTTGTCGAGACACCCCCCGCACACACACAACCGTGTGTGTGCAATGACACACGACCCACAAGCAAACCAACAGATATGTGTCATTGTTTCATAATGCTTAATAGATATGACGAAGTCATGTTATATAGGGATGACCTTTTGTGAAGGTATGCAGAGCACAGTTCTGAAATCTAGTGCGAAATTGGTCCGGCCCAATATACTACAAATGAGAGCCAACATTGGTGCATCACAATTCAAACGGATGCTCTCGCATGGGGTAGGGGTCAGGCTTTGCAAGAAATTTTCCCGTCCGGACAGATTTACCCAAACGCTACCAAAAGCGACCATGCAAATTCCGAAACGTGGGGCCTATGAAGATCGTGCCCCACACGAGGCTCAGCAAAACTGTTATGCAGCAGTCGATTGGCAGGATTCAGGTAATCTATCCTTGCGTTTGAAGAAAGAGCCCACCGATGAGGAATACACC